TTTCTAATGTACGATGATTTTGTTTGACATATCTTTTTATTTTCTTCTAACATGTTAGCCGTTTATTTCACATGTCAATGTCATTCTCACCAAATTATGTTCAACAACAATTACCGCCAAGATCAAAATGGTTGTTGCATATGTATTGAGTTTTCCTTTCAACTTCCATTGGTTTATATGATCGATTTATTCATGACTTACTTTTTCTATTTTGTACGAAGGCTCATATTCAAGATCTTAAGGAAGAAGTTAAGCTTCTCAAATTTTCTTTCATCCAGATATACATTTTAAATCATTGTGGTTATATTCTTTTTAATGCATATGGATCCAACACATTCTTGTGTTATCAAACTCATTTATTCTTTTATTGGATTTAGATATATTTGGACACAGTGAGGGAAGATGACACTTGAATATTATTCTCGAGTTTGTTCCCGAGAAATCTATATCATCGTTCTTGGAGAAATTCCAAAATTTCTTGAATCGGTAAGTAATTCTTGACTATATTTTTGACTCTAAGGAAGTTTTTTTTAAGGTAAATTAAGACACGGTAACGATTTTTCTCTATATACTCTATTGGTTATTTGAATTGGGTTTTCAATTATTAACTTGTGGTTATTACAAAAACTATGATGTCTCTGATAAATTTGTTGTTTAAAAAGGTGACAATATTTTCATATGTGGTTTCAGATCTGGAGATAATTGTAATATTATTCCTATTTCTTTGGATTGTTTATGTATGCATACTTTGCATCCTTTTTTAAATCACTATCTTGATTATTGCAGTTTTGTCGTGTTTAGGAAAGAGGAAACCGGTGAGGTGATCCTGCAGGGTCCAACTCATGAGCACTCATGAGATCGGTTTTAAACTCATTGGTGTACGAGAGGAATCTGAAAATGAGTGGTAAGGTTCTACGCAATTAGCTACAGATTCTAATATAGTTGAACTTTTTCTTTCTTCAACTACACTTTTCTCGAGTTCTTTATATGGTTGACATATTATCAAAATAAAATATGGTTAATACATGTCCAGTTCAGAGAAAATTTTCTATATATATGATAATTTTTTACCTCATGGAGATTTAAGAATCATAGTTCATTATTCTAGCCATGCGCTAAGTTTAACAACTTTCCCATGGATTAAAGTATCCATGTCGAAACTCAGTTCATTCTTGCCTTTTATTTTTGATATTTCATGTTCGGAAGATTGATGCCATACACGGTTTTGCTAAAAAATTGTAATTAAGTTTTGTCCAAGATTCATTTTAAAAGTCAAAAATATAAGGGCTATTAGCGATCAATATCTAAGTACAAAAGATTGTCTAGCACATCTTAAGTATATAATTATATATATGTGAAATAATTGTACCATTAGGCGAAATGCATAATCACTACAGTTTCTAAAATATCCAAGTAAAAAAGACTAACTAAACACATTTCACATTTCAGTTAGAATAATATAGTTCCCTAAATCCCCTAATGTACCAATTTTCAAATTATATCTCGAACAAAGAAATTTAGTCGG